ATTTACATACGGTAACAGTCATTTCACAATAATTTAAACAGAATTTTGCTTGTGTTTCCTGAGTAAGGCCCCCTATATTCTGTACTAGAATGTGTTATGTATTGTTTGTAAATGCTTGAATAAGTCACCATGAGATTACCCCGTGATGCTATAACCCTATACGCAAGGAAAGTATAGAGTAACATCTTAAACTCTCTAAGACTTGAGGCTCTCTAGGAAGGTCAGTGATGTTGGGTTTGGTGTCTTTTAGCTTAGAGAGAGAATGATAGTGGAGGATCCTGCTGAAATCAAGAGAGAAGAAGAGAAAATATAGCAAGGAATAGAAAGGGAGGAGTGATGTCATGTTGGAACAGGGAGACAGTGTGTGTAATGTGAGAGGGTCAAGATTGCACTGTGTGTGTGTGTGTGTGTTTTTGAGTGTGTACATATGCCCACCCCTCACACTCCGGGGGTCTTATTATCCCCTCTGAAAGTGACAGCCTGTCATTAATACAAAATATACACTAGACCATACAAACACACTAACACACACAGACAGTCATGCACTTACACCCACCCACATGAGCAGTAATTCTGGGTGTATGGAAAGTTTTTGTCTTATGATATTTTGCCCTTTCATAACAGGTTTATTCTTTATTCTCTGTTGACACACACTTTTTATTTCTTACTCACTGAGGAGCAAGTGAGCGAGTTTGACAGGGAACCTGTACAGAGTCTAAAGCTTCTTTCTTCCCGTTGGCCAGATTGAGCTCTTAATTAGGACCGTTTCCTGTTCGCTGAGTTGTAATGTGCAGCAGGACTGGCCCGTAGAGAGTTGCCCCGCTCTCTTTTCCTTCACCTCAGTGGTAACAGGCCAAGACTATTTTTTCTTCAGCCTATGTTGGCTGAATGGTGGTTCAGAGCTGAGCTGTGGCTGTTCTCCACCGCAATAATGTAAATCTTTTTTATCATCTAAAAATTCCATTATATTTAATTTACACTAGAATACAAAAGGAGACAAGCTCAGGCTGCATCTGAATATGCATACAGTACTTCCCTACTATAAAGTAGAAAAACAGTATGTGAAAAGAGTAGTATGTCCAAGTTCATAGTACTCATAAAACTGTATGCAAAAAGTGTCTGAATTACCTACTAATTTGGTCGAGATCAATGGATCGTCCAATGGACCCACAAGACCATGGGAGAAGAGTTGTGAATGGCAGACGCAACACGAGAAAATGACAATATGATGAATTTAGTATGTCTGGTTTACATTCATACTGCACACATTTATACTTTAATAGAATGTAGTTGCAAAGTAAGTACTTAAATTCAAAAGTCTACTCACAGAGTTTGCGATTTTGGATGCAGATTCGGTATTTAGTGGCGATTAATGAGTGCAGGTTTTGTGTTATTAGCGGAATGCTAATGTTGTTAGCTTTTTACTTTTTTTGCTAAATATGTTAGATCGAAGAAATAGTTAACTGCAAAATTAATCTTCTGTGAACTTATACTCACCTTCATGCCATTTTCACATACTGTCTTTTGTGGAACACAAAAAGAGTCATTTTACCTCATATCTTGAGATTAGGGCTTTCAAGCTCTAAATATAACATAAAGTCCAATAAAAGTAGTTTGTATACACTATTTCAAGTATTAAGAAGCTACACATATGTTTTTGAGAAACCTGTTGTGACATCTTAACACTGCATACTTGAATATATGTAAATGTAAATGAGATTTGACAGCTGAGAGGAATATTTATAGAAAACAATTTCAGTTTGGGTCTGTTCCTCACACAAAGCTATCAGTTGGCAACTTTTTATACAAACGTGAGGAAATAGAAATTTATAGTAGTTTATTGTTGTTTTTTTGTCGATTTTGGTGCTTGACTGCCTTACTTTCATTTATGGAAAAGAGAAGTTTTCACAATAAAGTGAGTTTTATTTAGGGGTGAACTATTCCTTTAAAATATGAGCCAAATCTCAACTGGGTGTGTATATGTGTGCAAGGGCGTAGTTTTGGTTTGAACATGGTGGGGTTAAAGTGTGAACTGAGTCCCGGGTCATGCTCATTCATAAGGTTTATTTATTTGTTTGTTTGCTTATATATTTATTTTTGTGAAATGGTCTTTTGTGCTATCATCTATATGCAAAGTTGGTGCAATAAAGTAACATCATAGTTAACAATTGCTTGTTTACGTAGGATATATAGCCTATATGTAATGTATTTTATAGACTATTATTTAGGCACTTATAGGCTATAGTTTGACATAATGTTCTAATTCAACATGCCATGGGAAGTCAATCTAACTTAACATTTTCTTATATTGATATTGTTTATGTCTTACTCCTTAACAGTTCATCAGGCTCTTAATGATTTAATCTATGCCATCTTTTGGAATATCTGAAGGCCATGTACCATAGTTCTTAACTGTAGCATTTGTTATAATAAGACTACCCTATTAATCATGCAGGCCAATAATGACATTTTTTTAAATTAATCAATATAGCATTTGTTTTGAAGAAACAACCGCCTGCACATTTAGAACCAATAGATACAACATGCCACAGTTGTAATATAAATGTATAGGGAAAAAATCTATTCTCTTAAAAGATTATCTAATATAAATTCTACAAGTTAGATTAAGTTTTACACAATAAATAAGCCTACAATAAAACGTGATAAATTCTAGTAAAGGCGGTCATGAGTAGTTTAAAAAGATTTTAATATATGTGCGGTTCTCCTCTTTTCATCAGTCTTTTTAGTTTATTTGCCTTTTTTAGATACTGTTCAACTTTCTCCATAGTATACATGCAGGCCAATAATGACATTTTTTTAAATTAATCAATATAGCATTTGTTTTGAAGAAACAACCGCCTGCACATTTAGAACCAATAGATACAACATGCCACAGTTGTAATATAAATGTATAGGGAAAAAATCTATTCTCTTAAAAGATTATCTAATATAAATTCTACAAGTTAGATTAAGTTTTACACAATAAATAAGCCTACAATAAAACGTGATAAATTCTAGTAAAGGCGGTCATGAGTAGTTTAAAAAGATTTTAATATATGTGCGGTTCTCCTCTTTTCATCAGTCTTTTTAGTTTATTTGCCTTTTTTAGATACTGTTCAACTTTCTCCATAGTATATTAAAGTGGCTGTTTCTCTAAATAATTCAAATAGATCACATATTTGGCCATCAGTTTCGCGACAGGAATGGCTCGCGCAAGCCTCATCACACTTCTCGAGCACGCCGGTGAACGGTTATATATCCCCCCACAAACTACGCCCCTGTATGTATGTGTTTCAGAGATGTGAGGTTGTTAAGCATGTGATGGATTGGAGTGTTAGACACAAATGACAATATGTCAGAATGTTAATGACCGTATGTGCTTGTGTGTGTGTATGCGTACACAGTAATCATGCAGTGTAAATGCTGCTATTTAGGCCGGATAAATACAGGTATTTGTTCAGGTGGGGACCCCCTCCTTTCGCTTTCAGCTGTCCGTCAGCTCTCCAATCAGACCGAATAATGCTTGTCGTCTGAGGCTAAAGGTTATTCAGACAAGCTGCGTTACCCCACACTGTGTGGTAGGCCAAGTCTATAGGAGGTATAATGGTGAAGTTAGTGAGTGCTATATTTGACACATTCTGCCTAAATATCAGTGCGGTCAGGGGAAGTGGAGTACTGACAGCTTCGTGCCAACCCAGAGAGGAAGTTGTGTGGTTGGTGTGTAGAAACTACTTATTGTGTGCCACACCTGAGGTTCTTTTAAGTGCATTATCTGTATGAGAGAATGTTTTATAGATGTTGATTGTATTATGCTATTAAGCTCTCTTATATGTTTGCAGACTTCACTAACTATGAGAGAGATTTGTAACAAGCTGTTATGTCAAATTCATCTCGCCATCTTTTTTGTATTCATCCACACCCACGTTTTTATTGAAGAATGCGGGGTTTGATCAGCCTTAAGACAAGAGCCAGTAAACCTTCATTGAGAGATTCCAGCAGAATGCCTCTTGCTGGCAAAGCCATTCTGCCTCTCTGTGCATGCCTGAGTACTTCTAAAAGGGATAGTTCACCCAAAAATGTTAATTCTGTTTTAAGGGTCAATGGCATGACGCTATTGATTAAAAAAAATAATAATAAAAAAATGTAATAAAATACGGAGCCCCGCATAACAATTACAATAAAAAAAATCTAAATAACAATATTAAATTGTGTACATGCGTGTATTTAAGTTGTAAGGAAAAAATATAATTTTTTTATATAATGATGAAACCAAATTACATTTTAGAGCCATTTTAGAGATGTTTTAGGATGTAAACGTTTCTTGAAAATGGCATGTTAATACAAAGAGTATATTTCTTCGAACCTGGCACACTTTATTTTAAGGTCCAATTCTAACTATTAACAAACCATTAACTATGGCCTTTGCCTCAATAAACTCCTAATTTGCTGCTTATTAATAGTTAGTAAGGTAGTTGTTAAGTTTAGGTATTGGGTAAGTTTAGGGATGTAGAATATGGTTATGCAGAATATGTGCTAATAAACAGCCAATATGTTAATAATAGTCATGCTAATAAGCAGCTAGTTAATAGTGAGAATTTGTCCCTATTCTAAAGTGTTACCATTATTTAAAACTTTATACATTTTTCAAAATATTTTATCATAGACACTTTTATTTGAGATTGCCATTCTATTTATTACAATATATTTATATTTCGGACATTCTGCTTAAATAGCTCCTAAACTTCCAACATGAGAATGAATAAATGCTAACAGATTTGTAATTGTTCTATGAACTATACCTTAAAGTAAGACTGAATGAGGCACTGAAAATTCTTAGGAACTATGACAAATTGAAACAAGAACTGAATTTCCTAGTACGATTTCCTAGTAATGGCAAATGGGTTTTTCTGACGTCATTTTTCTTCTGAACTTTCATCTGATGAAACCAGTTAATCTCACTTTTCCTTCATATTTCTTTGTCTTTTGGTTCTCTTTCTTAGGCCAGTGCCTGGTTCCCTTTCCTCGTTGTTGCACCTGAGGAACAGACAGCGACAGCCACTGCCGGCCTCCATGCCTGGCACATTGCCTGACCCGACTATGCAAGGATCGTCTGCTGTTCTGATGCCTGTGAGATCATAAATAAACCCACAAACACACACAATGCATTTACACTTCCCAGTCATGGTTTCCTGATGCCTCTGACAACCGAACTGCATTAATACGCACACAAACTCATCTTTCATAGATCATTCTCATGCATTTCTCAGTGGTCTGCTTTAAATTAATGTCTTTTCCAGTGATGTGACCCATATCAGTGGCTGCTTTATCAGGAAGCCCATCAGCAGAGGTGTAATTTTCTACCAGTGCTCAATCTGGTTTAATTCTATTTCAGATATGTCAATAGGAACCTGAATGCAGGCTGAGGAAGGAGTGTGTGTGTGTGTGTTTGAGCAAACCGCCCATATCAGGGTTCTAATGACACGACACATGTTCTCATTGTAACATAAGCCAGTCCATGTCGGCTATAGAGGTAAAAGCAAAGAGTTGATTAAATTAAATTAGAAATTTTTTTTCAATCTCGACTGACATCCCAGGAAAGGGGTGCCGAGTGGGGTGATATTTTTAAACCAAATATAAACCAAATATTCCTCCAGTAATTACAGCGGACTGCTGCGCTTTCACCCTGATATAGGTCATCAGGGGGTTGGAAAGGGGGGTCGGAGGGAGATCTTGGGTTTTAGTAACAGGACCCCCAGTCTCTCTCAATGTCACATACACACACACGCATTGAAAGTACCATTTTACAGTTTCTCTCACCTTAAACTGAGCGTAAATCACCAGAACGCACTTTGTATGAGTGCAAACATCTAAAACCTCAATTTCAGTCTTCGTGCACATTTAATTGAGACTTTCTGAATTAAGACATTCTGTCTTTCTTACAGAACTGAGCTTTGGTTTAGTTTATGGTCTTGTTAATAGTCCTATTTTAAGCTTCACACTTCTGCAGTATTCAGCTTCCTCTCTTAGCTTGTCTTTTACTGCTGCTTTTCCCGCAGAGTTGCGGAATATGCATAGATAAACACACACACACACACACACACACAGACACGTTAGGTTTCCATAGACTTCTATTACTTTTATACTGACCAAATAATAATTTCTATCCCCTAACCCAACCCTAAACCTACCCCTTACAGAAAACCTGTTTGCATTGTTACACTTTCAGATAAACATAATTTACTATTTTTAATAATTTTTCTCCCCTTCTACAATGTCAAAAATTTCAGGTTTTACTATCCTTGTTAGGACATTTGGTCCCCACAATGTAGCAAAGTACACACACACACACACACACACACAAAACACCACACATACATATTTACTTACCTATCTAAATAAGACTTTCTAAGACAAACTTTTACATATAAAGCTTTTTTAAATACTACAGCATGATCCTAAACTGTAAATAACAAATTAATGTTATATTAATGTAAATAAAAATGTAAAAATAATCAATTAAATAATTAAAAATGTATTTTTAATTAAAAACATTTAGATTAGAAATAAATCTTAATGAATTAATAATTTTGATGTTTCTAAATAAAATATATTGCAATATTATACCCTCCCTCCTCCCTTTTTTTTTTTTTGCTACAAATTGACCCTAAGCCTAATATTGTCACAGCTACAGTGAAATAAACACACAATGAAGATGAACGCAAATAGTCTTTAATAATCCACAATAGGGCAAACACAGGACGGACAGGCAGAATGCACACGTAGGGACTTAGAAGACCTGGGGCACGTTCAAGCTCAAACCGTTGTGCACCGTTTTGCTACGGTTTCCGGTTTGAACGACATGTTTCCTGGAAACGGTGTGCAACGGGGTTTGAGATACGTTTTCTCTTGTTTGGTGGGTGTGTCAAACATGTCAGCCCAATCAGCAGCAGCATGTATATAAACCACGAGGTATTAAAGAGACAGCTCGCACAATGTAATTAACATCAAAATAAATTCACAAGAGCAAGTATATTGTTTGCACATGTTTATTTACATTAAAGGCAAAATAACTAATTTAATAAGAGCACAAGTATAGATCTGGAACTTCCTTAAGTCTGTCTAAATATAATTTAGTAATTGCAATGTCTTCTATTGTGTGCTAAATACTGATTAATGTTACATAAAAATACTATACATATTTATATATTTTGCTATTGTATTATGGAGTGACACGTTAATAAACTTTTCTATACCCCTCTGATTTTATAATGGTAAATATTACAATATCATAGCACAACAACAGTGATCAGCAATAATGATAAGCCTAATACTCACAATAAAAATAATAAGGTCATAGAGATCATAACACAGTCTTGGAGGTAAGAAGTGGATTATCCTTCACCTGAAATGTTTGTCTTTTCATCCTGAAATGCGAGGCAAATGTTGAATCACAAAAATTAGGAACCACAGTTTCCACAAATCCCTTCATTTGACTGATGTTCGGTTTTATTCTGGAGGGCAAGGGCAGTGACTGTACCATCGAGCGTATTTTGCAGTATTAAACACGTATTTACACTGATTTCATCAGGCTCCGAAAATTCTTCAAAAAAGAACACAAAGAATGGCCTTCTCAGCTGCCATAGTTGCAACTCTTGCGTCATCAGAACAGGGTGTTCAACGCACCACCGTTTCCGTTTAAAAAACGTTTTGCACCGTTTTGTCGGGGCTGAACGCAGCCCAGATGACAAACAGTGAACTGAACATAATTCAAATAGGAGGGCTGATAAGGATAATTAATGACAAACACCTGATTCCGAAAATTCTTCAAAAAAGAACACAAAGAATGGCCTTCTCAGCTGCCATAGTTGCAACTCTTGCGTCATCAGAACAGGGTGTTCAACGCACCACCGTTTCCGTTTAAAAAACGTTTTGCACCGTTTTTGTCGGGGCTGAACGCAGCCCAGATGACAAACAGTGAACTGAACATAATTCAAATAGGAGGGCTGATAAGGATAATTAATGACAAACACCTGAACCAAATGACAATAATCAGACATGAGGGAAAACTAGGTCACACAGAGCACATGGGGAAGGACGCACAGCAAAACAGGTCCTTGAGGTGTGACAGATATAATTTATGAATAAATAAAAACTTAATAATAAATATTGATATAATAAATAAACATACCATTATAAAGTTTTTAGATTCTGAATAAATATTTAATTATTGATAATTTTGGTGTTTATAAAATAAAGAAAACAATTTTTTTTTACCACATTTAATAAACTTAATTAACTTTATAACATGTTTTTTAGCCAATTTGTTTCTAAAGTAAAGCTAATTCCCTAAACCTTAATTCATATTATACATAAAAATTAAAAAGTATGTTTATGAAACATTTTACATATGAAAACTTTAAATATTAAATGTTTATATTTTGCCCCGAGAGAAGATTTAATCATTTAACTAGTTAGAAGTAAGCGTTAACTAATTCTCGTAACGTTTTTCTGCTATTTTGTCGCCAAATGTTTAGGACGTACGCTCACATTTACACTGTAGCTTGCTTGTTAATTTTTATTCAAGTTGTTTTAAGCGTTAATGTGTTTGATTCTGAAGTAATTTATTCACATTTGTGGGTACAGATGGAGAGGCAAATGTCTATGGGCTCCGTTTATATTTTGCCCCGAGAGAAGATTTAATCATTTAACTAGTTAGAAGTAAGCGTTAACTAATTCTCGTAACGTTTTTCTGCTATTTTGTCGCCAAATGTTTAGGACGTACGCTCACATTTACACTGTAGCTTGCTTGTTAATTTTTATTCAAGTTGTTTTAAGTGTTAATGTGTTTGATTCTGAAGTAATTTATTCACATTTGTGGGTACAGATGGAGAGGCAAATGTCTATGGGCTCCAACATGATGGGCATGCAAGGCCCCGCCCACAGCAGCTCATGCTCCTCCCCTCATGTTCCATCCATGCACTCAGAGGCAAAGCTGGTGAGTCAGTCTCACACACACACACACACACACACACACACTTGCATATGTTCCTTCTTGCCTACCCTGTATGATTTGATTTGAGTTCATTTTTATCTTCTGTTATTGTTACAGAACTAGTCACCCGTGTAAGATACACAACACTTGCACGTAGAAGCACAAAAAAGACTTTTCCTTCTCTCTCGTTCTGTCGCTCAAATACATATGCACACACACACATAGACACACACTCACGTCTACAATGTATGCCAGCTTGTCTGATGTATATCGCGATGCCCTGAATATACACTTGTGCCTCTGCTGCTTGTTAGCACTAGTTCAGCATGGTGGTGATCTCATCAGAAACAAAGCAGCCAGTCAGAGCTCTCAGAGACCGAGAGAACAAGAGAAAGACGAAGAGAAAGAAACAGACTGGTGGAGAAAGCAGGAAGGAGGATCTAGTATGGTTTTTACACATTTCATCAATATGTACCGATGACAAACTGATTTATGGCTCTTTAGTAGCAACAGATTTAGTAACATCTGTTAGTGGATGTGACTGCTAAAAAATCTAAACATTGAAAATAATGCACCATTTAGAAAATTCTGTCATTATTTACTTACATTTATGTCATTACAATCCCTATTTTTTTCCCCGTGACACAAAAGGAGATATTTACTGAATGTTCTGGCTGCTTTTTCCATACAGTAATGATGAAGAGAGCTCAAACAGTGTCAAAAAGGTGCCTTTTTTACTTATAAACTACAAAAAAAAGGTGAAATGTATGTTAAAAAAATATTTATCAAAATATAGCATAAAACCATACATGTACATAAGTGATAACAAAAAAGGAAAAGAAAAGAAACAAAGAAAGAAGAAGAAACATTTTTAAAGAAAAAGTTGTCACACAGGGAGTTCTGGGAATGTACTGTAAATGTATAGTTTTCCCCTGTGAGTTTAGCAGTATTTTACTGTAAAATTACATGAAATGTCTCATTAGATCTACAATACTTTTTCATCAAATATTGAATTGACCATTTTACAGTGCTTTGCCATTAAAATAATTATCATTATTTACAGTGTGCCAAACCAATGCGTTCAGTCAAGATGCACAAAGTCAAGTGCAAACAAACATTGCCTTGTGTTTTGAAAAGTCTAAAATTTTAAATGTTATTTGCTGAAAATAACCCAAAAGGCTATTTTGCATTTATTTACATTAAAATATGACTCGCCAAGGGTTTTTTTGTTGTTGTTGTCATCACTATTGAAGCCTGACAGCCCCCATCATCATACCCAGCTAATGGGAAATAACATCTAGTACTTTTTATTCCACGGTGAAAATCCTACATGTTTTGGAACCACATAATGATGAGTAAATGATGACAGAATTTGTATTTTTATGTGAACTCTTCCAGGACCGTTACATCCATCTGCCAGGATTTGTACAGTTACCAAAGATCCCATTTAAGTATGCTCACACACGTTTTATTTGAGTTTCATAGCGGCGGCAAGAGGATCAGGAAGACAGATTTGGTAATTAGATTAAAATCCTCTAATTATACCATGTAATAATCCGGTATTTGTGGATTTGGAATTGGATTTAGGAGTTAATTATTTTGCTCTGAGAAAAAGGGGAAGGAGGAGACTGAAAAACAATACAAGATAAAAGACAGAAAGAGAGAGAGAAAGTGTCTGTACGTCAAAGCATGAGTGATGATTCTGATGGTGGAAAGAGCGTTCGAAGAGCACTTAACTCTCTCTCCTTCTCTCCGTCCCGCTGGAGATTGATCGCCATGTGTATTTTTTAATCCGTTCGTTTGTTGCTATGGTAACGGGCAGGGGGAGCATAATATTACTTTAATGTGCAGTCTTATCTGTCCTCTGGCTGGACTCCAGGCACATCCCCCCTCTCTGCCTCGCTCTCGGCCCTGATTGTAATTGAATTATAAATTCCTTTTTTTTTTCTTTTGCTCTGACACATGAAACCATTTGTTTTAAGCTTTCAAGAGTCACTAAAACAATCTTATAGGAAGAATTAAACAAAGGTCACCACGCCTTTGGATGCTGGATAATTCCATTATCTGTAAGAATGCAAATATATACAGTATATATATATAAAAATGCAGTTCACATGTACTTCAAATTAAATCCTAAAGCGATGAAAAAAAAGATGCCAACATCTAGTGTTCCAACAGTCACTCCACAAAAAACTGAAATGAGTAGTATTTTTGTAAAATAATATTAATAATTATTAATTATATTATTATAGAAAAATAATTAATCATGTATTAGAAAATAATTATGGTCTAAACATACTTAAAACATGATACTTTTACATGAAAAGCAATAATTATGTAAGGTCTTATACACAAACACACACACACACACATATATATATATATATATAGATATATATATATACTGTTAATTGTAATTTTTAAAGACCTTATATATTGCCTTTCATGCAAAAGTATCACGTTTTAAGTATGTTTAGACTATAATTATAATCTTGTTTTTTGTATACTGTATAGTGTAATATAATAAGACCTTTATATATTTTCCTTAGTTTTCCCCCCTAAAGTTTTATTAAAAATAAAACGTAAGGGGGAAAAACAAAGTTTATATATATATATATATATATATATATATATATATATATATAGTTTTATGTATGCTGTATAGTGTAATATAATAAGAACTTTATATATGTTTCTTTTGGTTTTTCCCCCTTAAGTTTTATTTTTAATTAAGTCTTTTCTGATTTAGCAACATTTTACAAAATGACCAAAAAAAA